GGTCCTGAGTCTGCCCCCTGCTCGTGTCGCCTCCATTCTCACGAGACTCTCCTCTGGCACCACCGCCTTGGTCACCCCTCCCTGCTTCGTCTCCGAAGCATGGCCTACCGTGTCCTTGTCTCTGGTCTTCCCCGGTCCCTCCCTCCCCTTCCTCCGGGGCCTGGCCCTACCTGCGTCCCCTGTGTCGAGGGGCGGCAGCGGGCTGCCCCTCACTCCTCCCAGTTTCCTCTGACAGAGGCCCCGCTGCAGACGCTTCACATGGACGTGTGGGGCCCGGCCCGCGTCCGTGGACAGGGTCACGAGTGCTAATTCCTGCTGGTGGTCGACGACTACTCACGTTACACCACAGTCTTCCCCTTGCGTAACAAGGGTGATGTCACTTAGGTGTTGATCGACTGGATCCGCGCAGCTCGTCTCCAGCTCAGGCGGAGCGTCAGCTCAGACTTTCCTGTTCTGCGTCTGCACTCTGACAGAGGCGGAGAGTTCTTCTCTGGCCTTCTGCGAGCCTACTGCCGTGCACGAGGCATCTGCCAGACCTTCACGCTTTTGGACTCTCCACAGCAAAATGGGATTGCTGAGCGCCGCATTGGCATGGTCATGGACGTCGCCCGTACGTCCATGATGCATGCGGCTGCCCCTCATTTTCTGTGGCCGTTTGCGGTCCGGTACGCGGCGCATCAGATCAACCTTCAGCCCAGAGTCTCCATGCCGGAGACCTCCCCACCCTTGCTGTGGACGGGGAAGGTTGGCGATGCGTGTGCGTTCCGTGTCTGGGGATCTCGGGCGTTTGTTCGCGACTTGTCTGCGGACAAGCTGTCCCCTCGTGTTGCTCCTTGCGTCTTCTTGGGTTTCCCCCCTGACGCGCCAGGGTGGCAGTTCTACCACCCCACCTCTCGCCGTGTTCTGTCCTCCCAGGACGTCACGTTCGACGAGTCGGTCCCCTACTACCGTCTCTTCCCCTACCGCACTCCGTCCCCCCCTCCGCCACCGCTCTTCCTTGTGCCAGGTCCCCCCCCGGTAGACCCCCTCCCCCCTGAGGGTCCTGCCCCTTCAAGTGTGTCCCACGTAGATGCTGTCGAGCCTGTCGAGGTCCCTGGTGACTCTAGTGCTGCTGAGGGTGGTGAGCCTGGGGGTGCTTACTCTGGGGGTGCTGACTCTGGGGGTGCTAAGAGTGTGGGTGCTACGCCTGGGGGTGCTGAGCGTGAGGGTACTACGACTGGGGGTGCTGAGCCTGGGGGCACTGAGTCTGGGGGTGCTGAGCCTGGGGGTGCTACGCGTGGGGGTGTTGAGCCTGGGGGTACTGAGCCTGGGGGTGCTACGCCTGGAGGTGCTGAGCCTGAGGGAGCTGGGCCTACTCGTGGGGCGTCTGGAGGTGCTGAGCCTGGCGGTTCTCCGCGTGCTTCGTCTCGCCGGGAGCCACTCTCTCCACAGGACCTGCGTGAGTGGTTTGCCCGGCGCTGGAGGCGAGCTGCTGGAGCTGGAGGTGCTGCGGGTACTGGAGGTCTGCTGCTGCTGTGGGTGCTCGTGTCGCGGGTCTCGGAGGTGCTCGTACTGGGAGTACTGGAGCTGCTGGGCCTGCGGGTACTTCTGGAGCGGGAGCTGCTTCGGGTGTTGGCGCGGAGGCTACTGCTGTCGGTCCTGGAGCCGGTCCTGCTGAGGGTGCTACTGGTGCTGCTGGATGTACTGGAGTTGGAGGTGCTGCTGGTGTTGGTGCTGCCGCTGGGGGTACTGGTGCTGTCCCTGCTGTGTCTGGAGTCGCCGCGCAGCCTCGGCCGTACTTCGTTCCGCTCCTTCAGCAGATTCTTGGTCTCCCGCCTTCTACTGGTCCTCCTCCTCCCTTAGAGTGTCCACAGCCTATCCTGTCACAGTTACGGTTACAGCCAGCCTCCCCACTGCCTCCTCCGTCTCCCTACACTGGTCCTACTGGAGGTCTTGCTGAGCGTCGTGAGCCTGCGTCTCGCCCTGCGTCGCCTGTCCGTACTGCTCGCGCTAGTGGTCGTGGTTCGCGTCAGCGTCCTCCTCCTGTCCCTGGCACGCACCGGATGTCTCTGCGTCCGTCCACTGCTCCTCTGCGTGCCCCTTTGCCTTCTCCTCCTGAGTCTTCTCTTCCTGCTCTTGCCGACCCCGAGTCAGACTCTCTTCGTGCTGCCAGTCCTACTGTCATGCGTCTTCTTGCTACTGTCGTCACAAACCCTTCCTTTGAGTCCACTGCTGCGTCTGCCCTAGTTGCTGAGCTCGTTGACTTTGCTGCTCGCTGTCGTCTAGACTACGCTGCCAGTCTTGTTGCTGAGTCTGAGTCTGTCTGTCCTCCGTTCGTCGGGGGTGAGTGTGCCCTTGGCACGGACGTCCTTGAGGACAGGCAGGAGGAGTTCCAGTGCTTGGCCGCTGCTTCACCTCATCTCGTGTCCGTAGTGCTTACCCCTGAGGGAGACCCGGATGCACTTGACATCCCAACTCCGCGCTCTTACGCGGAGGCCATAGAGGGTCCCTACTCCTCTCAGTGGCAGGCAGCTATGGATGCAGAGATGGCTTCCTGGAAGTCCACAGGCACCTACGTTGACGCTGTCCCCCCTCCTGGGGCGAACTTCGTCAGTGGCATGTGGATCTTCAGGGTGAAGCGGCCGCCGGGTCCTCCGCCTGTCTTCAAGGCGCGTTACGTGGCTCGTGGCTTCAGTCAGCGGCAGGGAGTTGACTACTTTCAGACCTTCTCTCCCACCCCGAAGATGACCACTCTTCGGGTACTGCTGCACGTTGCTGCTCACCATGACTACGAGCTGCACTCTCTCGACTTCAGCACAGCTTTCTTGCAGGGCAGCCTGCACGAGGAGATCTGGCTGCGCCGCCCACCTGGCTTCACTAGGTCTTTCCCTCCTGGTACCCAGTGGAGTCTTCGGCGTCCAGTCTACGGTCTCCGCCAGGCGCCACGTGAGTGGCACAACACACTGAGGACTACGCTTGCGGCTCTTGGGTTTGCTCCTTCTACTGCTGACCCGTCGCTGTTTCTGCGCACCGACACCTCTCTGCCGCCGTTCTACATCCTCGTGTACGTCGACGACTTGGTCTTTGCCACAGCTGACACTGCTGGACTCGCCTACGTGAAGTCCGAGCTGCAGAAGAGACACACGTGCACAGACCTGGGTGAACTGCGCAGCTACCTTGGCTTGCAGATCACCCGGGACAGAGCACGCCGCACCATTACCCTGACTCAGTCACACATGGTGCAGCAGGTCCTTCAGCGCTTCGGCTTCACGTACTCCTCGCCTCCGGCCACTCCTCTGCCTACTCGCCACTCGCTCTCAGCTCTGCCTTCGGATGAGTCCGTAGAGTCGAGTGGCCCATATCCAGAGCTTGTTGGCTGCCTCATGTACCTGATGACCTGCACACGACCTGACCTTGCATACCCTCTTAGCATTCTCGCACGCTATGTTGCTCCTGGGAGACACCGACCAGAGCACATGGCTGCAGCGAAGAGGGTGTTGCGCTACTTGTGCAGTACGTCGGGCATGGGGCTAGTGCTTGGAGGGCGCAGTCCAGTGGTCCTCACTGGGCACGCGGACGCTTCTTGGGCTGACGACCAGGCTACGCAGCGGTCGTCACAGGGTTACACCTTGAGCCTTGGTTCCGGCTCTGTTTCGTGGCGGGCTACCCGCTCGTCTTCTGTTCTCGGCTCCAGTTGTGAGGCTGAGATATATGCTGGGGCCATGGCTGCACAGGAGCTTCGCTGGCTCACCTACCTGCTGACCGACCTTGGAGAGTCGCCTCGTTCTCCTCCAGTCCTGTACGTAGACAACAAGGCCATGCTGGCCTTGTGTCGAGAGCAGAGACTGGAGCACAGAACAAAGCACATTGCTCTTCGCTACTTCCTTGCTCGTGAGCTACAGCAGCGTGGTCAGTTGCGGCTTTCGTACGTGGCCTCTGAGGCCAACACTGCTGATGTCTTCACCAAGGCACTTGCGCCTTGTGATCATCAGCGCTTATGCACGCAGCTGGGTCTTGTGCCTGTCTTGCCTCACTTGCTCACCTCTTGACCTTGCTTGTACTGTTGCATATATATACACCTGCTCTTGCTTGTCTAGTCCTTTATATATATGTACTCCTGCATGTGAACTGGCCTTGTGGCCTTGAACTTGTGCTCAGAATGTGTGGTGACTTTGTGATCCACCCTGAGCTTGCTTTGCTTTGCTTTGCTTGACTGGTCTTGTGACCCCTTGTTCTCCCCCACTTTGCCTATGGGGGTGTGTCAGAACATTTAGCTTGTGCTTATTGTGTAGGCTATAGTGGGGTAGCCCATAAGGGGTACAACCCAATAAGGGTTAGTACTTGTACTCAGTTCGTTCATAGTTCATCCATTCTCGTTTCAGTTTTCTCAAATGTTACTTTGCAAAGCATGATTACTACCAAAGATCTAGAATAATTATTTTTGTGATGTAATCAATACACGACTGTGTGAGACATATTTCATTGTCGTGTAAAAATCACTAAAGAACATCGTAAAAATATAAGAGATTCATCAGGTTTACAATGTTGAAGCAATGAATTATGTGCAGGCATTTTTAAGTAAGTGTTTTACAGAATTGTATTGGCTATTTACATATTTTAGCTTTACATTACTAGTCTAATCACACAATGTAGCTGTATATTATGATACGAACCACTCCTGGACAAACGTGAAGTGTTTTTGCCGGATATCCAAAATTTTCGGAAACCCGACGAACCACGCTGCACCGAGATTTTTTCAGCACATTGAATGCCTGTGTTAGTGTCTGTTTGCCCGAAAACATTCTCGTGACAACTCCGACCAAAATTTCGGTAACTGCGCGCGATCAGAATCAACTCGGAGTCGGTGGGCAATTAGAAAACATTCCCGCCAGCAAATTGCGGGAACCTGATGTCGCCGAACTGTCTGCCAGCAAATTCCCGTCCAACACCCCTAGAGTTGCGATGTCTCTGCTCGACTCGTAAATTTTGTTAGTCAATTCGTCTCCTCTTGCATTGCACTTCTATTTAAAGAAGAGGAGCGCGAGGGGGAGCGTGTGCACGGGAACGCGTGAGAGTGCGCATGCAAGAGCGCGTGCGAGAGCGCGTGAGAGAGTGCGTGAGAGAGCGCGTGAGAGAGTGCGTGAGAGAGCGCGTGAGGGCGCAAGTGAGAGAGTGCGTGAGAGAGCGCGTGAGGGAGCGTGCGAGAGCGCGTGAGAGTGCGTGTGAGAGTGCGCGTGAGAGTGCGCGTGAGAGTGCGCGTGTGAGTGCAAGTGAGAGAGCGCGAGCGCGTGAGAGAGCGCGTGAGAGAGCACGTGAGAGTGCGCGTAAGAGAGCGCGTGAGGGAGCGCGTGAGAGAGCGCGTGAGGGAGCGCGTGAGAGAGCGAGTGCGCGTGAGAGTGCGCATGAGAGAGCACGTGAGATAGCGCGTGAGAGAGCGCGTGAGAGAGCGCGTGAGGGAGTGCGTCAGAGTGCGCATAAGAGAGCGCGTGGGAGAGCGCGTGAGAGAGCGCATGGGAGTGCACAAGAAAGAGCGCGTGACAGAGGGAATGCGCAAGAGAGTGCGCGAGAGAGAGCACGTGAGGGAGTGCATGAGAGCCCGTGAAAGAGCGCGTGAGAGAGCGCGTGAGAGAGTGCGTGAGAGAGTACGTGAAGGACCGCGTGAGAGATTGCATCAAAGAGCGCGTGAGAGAGCGCGTGAGAGTGTGCGAGAGAGTGTGCATGAGAGAGCGCGTGAGAGAGAGAATGCGCAAGAGAGTGCGCGAGAGGGAGTGCGACGGAATGCGTGAGAGCCCGTGAGAGAGCGCATAAGAGATTGTGTGAGAGAGCATGTGAGAGAGCGCGTGAGAGTGCACATGTGAGAGCGTGTGAGAGAGTGCGTGAGATAGAGCGTGAGAGAGTGCGTAAGAGAGTGCGTGAGGGAGCGTGTGAGAGCGCGTGAGAGTGCGTGTGAAAGTGCGCGTGAGAGTGTGCATGAGTGTGCGCGTGAGAGAGCGAGTGAGAGAGCGTGAGCGCGTGAGAGAGCGCGTGAGAGTGCGCGTCAAAGAGCGCGCGAGGGAGCCCGTGAGAGAGTGCGTGAGAGAGCGCGTGAGGGAGCGTGTGAGAGAGCGAGTGCGCGTGAGAGTGCGCGTGAGAGTGCGCGTGAGAGAGCGCGTGAGAGAGCGCGTGAGAGAGCACGTGTCAGAGAGCGCATGAGAGAGCGCGTGAGAGAGTGCGTGAGAGAGCACGTGAGAGAGCGTGTGAAGGACTGCGTAAGAGATTGCATCAAAGAGCTTGTGAGAGAGCGCGTGAGTGTGCGAGAGAGTGTGCATGAGAGAGCCCGTGAGAGAGAGAATGCGCAAGAAAGTGTGCGAGAGGGAGTGCGACGGAATGCGTGAGAGCCCGTGAGAGAGCGCATGAGAGATTGCGTGAGAGAGCATGTGAGAGAGCGCGTGAGAGTGCGCATGTGAGAGCGCGTGAGAGAGTGCGTGAGGGAGCACGTGAGAGAGCGCGTGAGAGAGTGTGTGAGATAGAGCGTGAGAGAGTGCGTGAGAGAGCGCGTGAGGGAGTGTGTGAGAGCGCGTGAGAGTGCGTGTGAAAGTGCGCGTGAGAGTGTGCGTGAGAGTGCGCGTGAGAGTGCGAGTGAGAGAGCGCGAGCGCGTGAGAGAGCGCGTGAGAGTGCATGTGAGAGAGCGCGTGAGGGAGCGCGTGCGAGAGTGCGTGAGAGAGCGCGTGAGGGAGCGTGTGAGAGCGCGTGACAGTGCGTGTGAAAGTGCGCGTGAGAGTGTGCGTAAGAGTGCGCGTGAGAGTGCGAGTGAGAGAGCGCGAGCGCGTGAGAGAGCGCGTGAGAGTGCACGTGAGAGAGCGCGTGAGTGAGCGCGTGAGAGAGTGCGTGAGAGAGCGCGTGAGGGAGCGTGTGAGAGACAAGTGCGCGTGAGAGTGCGCGTGAGAGAGCGCGTGAGAGAGCGCGTGAGAGAGCGTGTGAGAGAGCAGTGTCAGAGAGCGCGTGAGAGAGTGCGTGAGAGAGTGCGTGAGAGAGCGCGTGAGAGAGCGCGTGAAGGACCGCGTAAGAGATTGCATCAAAGAGCACGTGAGAGAGCGCGTGAGAGTGTGCGAGAGAGTGTGCATGAGAGAGCGCGTGAGAGAGAGAATGCGCAAGAGAGAGTGCGAGAGGGAGTGCGACGGAATGCGTGAGAGCCTGTGAGATAGCGCATGAGAGATTGCGTGAGAGAGCATGTGAGAGAGCGCGTGAGAGAGTGCGTGAGGGAGCACGTGAGAGAGCGCATGAGAGATTGTGTGAGATAGAGCGTGAGAGAGTGCGTGAGAGAGCGCGGGAGGGAGCGTGTGAGAGTGCGTGAGAGTGCGTGTGAAAGTGCTCGTGAGAGTGTGCGTGAGAGTGCGCGTGAGAGTGCGAGCGAGAGAGCGCGAGCGCGTGGGAGAGCGCGTGAGGGAGCGCGTGAGAGAGTGTGTGAGAGAGCGCGTGAGGGAGCGCGTGAGAGAGCGAGTGCGCGTGAGAGTGCGCGTGAGAGAGCGGGTGAGAGAGCGCGTGAGATAGCACGTGAGAGAGCACGTGTCAGAGAGCGCGTGAGAGAGTGCGTGAGAGAGTGCATGAGAGAGCGCGTGAGAGAGCGCGTGAAGGACCGCGTAAGAGATTGCATCAAAGAGCACGTGAGAGAGTGCGTGAGGGAGCGCGTGAGAGTGCGAGTGCGCGTGAGAGTGCGCGTGAGAGAGCGCGTGAGAGAGCGTGTGAGGGAGCGCGTAAGAGAGCGCGTGGGAGTGCGCGAGAAAGAGCGTGTGACTGAGGGAATGCGCAAGAGAGTGCGCAAGAGAGAGCACGTGAGGGAGTGCGTGAGAGCTCGTGAGAGAGCGCGTGAGAGAGCGCGTGAGAGAGTGCGTGAGAGAGTACGTGAGAGAGCACGTGAGAGAGCGCGTGTCAAAGAGCGCGTGAGAGAGTGCGTGAGAGAGAGCGTGAGAGAGCGCGTGAGAGAGCGCGTGAAGGACCGCGCAAGAGATTGCATCAAAGAGCGCGTGAGAGAGCGCGTGAGAGTGTGCGAGAGAGTGTGCATGAGAGAGCGCGTGAGAGAGAGAATGCACAAGAGAGTGCGCGAGAGAGAGCACATGAGAGGGCGAGTGAGAGTGCGAGCGAGAGAGCGAGTGAGAGAGCGCGCAAGAGAGCGCGCGAGAGAGCGCGGGAGAGAGCGCGTGAGAGAGAGAGAGAGAGAATGTGCGAGAGAGTGCGCGTGAGGGAGCGTGTGAGGGAGCGCGTGAGAGAGTGCGTTAGAGAGCGTGAGAGAGCGTGTGCGAGAGTGCGTCAGAGAGCGCAGGAGAGAGCGCGTGAGAACTTGCGTGAGAGAGCGCGTGAGAGTGTGCGTAAAAGTGCGCGTGAGAGAGCGCATGAGAGAGCGCGTGAGAGAGCGCGTGAGAGAGCGCGTGAGTGAGCGAGTGAGAGCGCTTGAGTGTGCGCATGAGAGAGCACGTCAGAGAGTGTCAGAGAGCGCGTGAGAGTTCGTGTGAGAGAGCGTGTGAGAGTCCGTGTGAGAGAGCGCGTGAGCGAGCGTGAGAGGGCGCGTGTGAGAGTTGACTTCTCTGTTTTTGCTTGTGCAGGGCGCATGTTGACGTCTCTGTTTTTGCTTTGTGCAGGGCGCGTGTGTGCTAACTTCTCTGATTTTGCTTTGTGCAGGGCGCGTGTGTGTAGACTTCTCTGATTTTGCTTTGTGCAGGGCGTGTATGTGTTGACTTCTCTGATTTTGCTTTGTGCAGGGCGTGTGTGTGTTAACTTCCCTGATTTTGCTTTGTGCAGGGCGCATGAGCTGCGAAGGGAGATGAGGGAGGGAGTGGGATGGAGATGAGGGAAGGAGGGAGGGAGGGTTGTAGGGAGGGGAAGGTGGGATAGGCCAGCAATCATTTCTGCATTTCTGAATTTTATTCATGACGGTTGTGTCTTTATTACGGTCTCTGTATCTATCTGTGCTTGTTTGCGCGTGTGTTAGTGTGTGTTGTACATGTGCGTATGTACGTGCACGTGTGCGCCTATGTGAGATACGGTATGTGTGTGTATTGTGTTTGTTTGCACCTGTCTGTCTCGAGGCGTGTGCTAAAACGCCTCGTATATGCAACTGAGGTGTGATGTTAAAGTGTGTCGGGTCTGCATTTGAGGTGGGGATCGTTGTTGGGGCAGCGTTGCTCGCCTTAGCATACCGGTGTTGGGAACAATAAGTCTTAAAGCGCCTCTGTCGTGTCGAAACTCAGGACACAAGCGAAGCAGTCCAAATCGAAGCATCGCGAGTCAACCCTCGGAGGTTAGGGTAACCGCTTGGAGGTTACGCGAAGGTCAAAAGTCAGCGACCTTTGACTTGACAAAATACAGCGCGACAGCAAGGACACACAACTGACTCGACATTGAGCAGTTGCCCGAGTCGCACTGTATCGAATCGCAACAGCAAAACAGTTTAATCTATTCGTATTCCTTGTACTCTTATATAAAGCCTTGTATTTGCTTGTTTTAATCAACTTACTTTGCCCTCACATACTAGCGCAAGGTGGTTCAAGGACTTTTCATTCAAACGCTTCCGCTATTACAATCCTACTCAGACTTTTACTCTACAAAGATCCTAGGGCATCTCAGCCCAACATGGTATGAGAGCAGATAGAGTTCAAAGTTACTTTTTCTCTTAATACTTAATACAAGGAAGACATGTCTACTAGGAAGGAGAGGAGCTCCTCCAACGGTTCTCCATGCACTACCCCTACTCCACCTCCTGTCTCTGGTCTACAGACAGAAGAAGGGACTACCACGAGACCAGCAGCTGGGTCTACGGAAACGCCCGCAGGCTTCGATCCAAGCATGATGGAGAAATTCTTCTCCTTCATGTCCTTCTACGAGCAGCACCAGCAAGGAGTACCTGCGCAGTCAAACAACAGCAACAACAACAACGTAACTCCTATGAGTCTCGACGGCTCATCCTACGCACGCGGAATTCAACAACAACAACAACAGCAGCCTACCTTTGCGCCGTACGAGCCCCAGCGTGGCTCCGTCAGCTTCATGCCGCAACCGCAATCTGCACCGGGACAAGAAAGGGCATTGGACGCATTACAAGTTCAATCACAATTCGCGCATGTTCTCAAGCTGCAAACGACAAAGCCTTTCGACGGAAAAGACTTCTTCACCTGGTCGTTCGAGTTCGAACTGACGATGGAAGGAGCACAGATTCTCGGCTTCTTCGACGGGTCCCTGCCATATCCAACAAACGGGACACAATATGAGAAGCAGCAGTACACCTATCAATCAATGATGGCGTACACGATACTGCTAAGAAACATCACCCCGACCCAGCAGCAGAACATCAGGACTTACCGAGGCTACGGCAACTCCGCGGAGCTCGCGTTCAACCACCTGAAGAACCTGTATCAAGCAACAGACAGCGTAAATCAAAGCAGGTTAATGGCGCAGTTGACAACAATTGAAATGAAACCAGGCGAGAAAGGCATGGCTTATATCAGCCGCTGCCGCGAACTGCGCGACAAGCTTCTTCGATGCGGAGGGTCGATTTCAGAAGACGCCTTTGTCACGGTGGTCATCGGCGGTCTCGGCCCCCACTGGCGCTCTACTCGCGCCATATTACGAGCACACGGGAGGATTTCCGAAGCGACACTCTGCGCCGAAATTCATGCCGAGAAGCAGGACATGGACCTGCAAGAAGAAAGACACAAGAAGAAAACATTAGCACCGGAGTTTGCGTTTCACACTCAGCGACGATACAACAACAACAACAATCGACAACAGCAACAAGTGAAGACGGTACCTCCGTTTTGCCACATCTGCAAGACTTCGGGACACCCTCGCACGCACTGCCCGTCTCGTCAGACAACACCACAGCGACAACTCCGGCCTTCAAGCTCCCAAGTTGCCTCAACACAAGCAAATCCGACGACCTCAATCCAAGCTTCAACGACTCCAACAGGACAATCTGCACAAGGAGCAAGAAACATTGTCAATTGCATGGTGAAGATAACTGATTCGTGCACAACCAAATCACCACCTCACTACTCACCGGAAGAAGAGCTCAACAACAGGACGCCTCGCCGCGAGTCACTCCAACCGAATCCGACGTACGCCGCCATCGCTCAAAGCGAACCGTCCGGGCAAGACACCTGGTTCATGGACAGTTGCTGCGGACAACATATGTGCTCCTTGGGACGCTTCGTTCAACGCGAACATCGACTCCAGCGAGAAGTAGTCATCACGGTCGCCAACAACCAGAACCTGCGCACACGATGACAAGGAGTAGTTCAGCTTCAATCAAGAGAGACAAACGTCATACTGCACATGTCAAAGGTACTCATCGCAGAAGGACTCGGTTATAACTTACTGAGTGTCAGCCAGCTGATGGCGAAAGGCATCCACTTGGAAGCCGACAGCACCACCCAGGAGTTTAAACTGTACCACGGGAAGGGCGGCCTCTACATCGGAAGAGCAGTTTTGAAGAACAACGTCTTCGTCCTCGATTTCGTCCCTGACCTTGGCACTGCAGATAGCGACGCCATCGTCAACTTTGCCGATGGGACACATCCCCCGGATCTCGATCCCGACTTCAGCCCGGGAGGTTTCTGGTACTCGCACACCATCCCTGAAGCAGAACGAACACGAGCGTTAGCAACAATTCAACAAACGGCAGTAGCAGAAACAACATCAACAGCAGCAGAGACAACATCGGCAGCAGCAGAGACAACATCGGCAGCAGCAGAGACAACATCGACAGCAGCAGAAACATCATCGGCAGCAGCAGGACCAACGACACCGGTCATCGTCCACGAAGCACCACCAACACCCGCACAACAACTGAACCCGACTCAACGAGAAGTCCACAGAAGCGCCAATGTCGACGCCAGCTTCTACTCCAACTCCGACGCGTATCAACGCTCACCCGGACATCGCGCTCCTGAAGACATCTGGCACGCACGCACAGGACATCCAAGCAACACAGTATTAAATAACACAATACGAGCAGGAGTCCTCGACAAAGATTCGCTACTACTACCCGACGGCAGAGAACTTCAACGGGCACGAGGAACTTGCCTCATCTGCCCCGAAGCCGACTTACCCCATCGACCGTTTTCTTCTCACCACAACCCGAGCGCACCTACATACGCACCACTCGAGAAAGTATACAGCGACATCCTCTTCAATCGAGAACCAGGACAAGTCACCTACAATTACACAATAACCTTCATCGACGCCGCCACTCGATACGTCTGGCATCGAAACCTACCCAGCCGCGACATGGCACTCGCAGCGTTCGCCGCTTGGCTACCGGTAGCAGCGAGGGAGTCAGGAACACAGCTGAAAAGCTTCCAGTCAGACGGAGGAGGAGAATACACCTCTCAGCGCTTCAAGCAGTACCTGGCGGAAAGGGGAATCAAGCAGCTCCTCTCCCTTCCCTACGCCCATCAGCAGCAAGGTGTTGCAGAAAGAATGAACAGGACTCTGCAGAACAGCATGCGCAAACTGCTACGTGGCATGCGGCTACCCAACCACCAGTGGCCTGCAGCAATGGACCATGCTGTCATGCTGCACAACTTGCTGTCGTCGTCGTCACTCCCGAACAACGCATCACCGCATCTGCTGTGGACAGGAAAGCAGGGCAGCACAAGAATGTTACGAGTTTTCGGATGCATGGTGCAGTACCGACCCCCAGAAGCACGAGCGGGAAGATTTTCACAACGGGCACAGTGGGGACTACACCTCAACATCGAGAAAAATAACAACGCGTGGAAAATTTTCGATGTCCACTCAAAGGAAACAGTAGCAGCACGTGATGTGATCTTATACGAGCGACTCACCCTTCAAACGTACCTCGCCAACTTGCACGAGAATCAAGACCCCACAGGTGGTCTTCGTGGTGACCGAGCCTTCGCCTCAGCAGCGGACGAAGCAGACTGGGACGAACAGAACGTCGACAACGCATCGGAAGAAACCGGACCTCTCCCGTACTGCTCCGTCGACGTGCCCATGGACGAAGACAATCCTCGCGACAGTCCCAACGCCGAAGTCTTCTATCACTTCGCCGACAACGGTTACGTAACACCTGCGACAGTCAACACAAACGAAGCAGAACGGATAGGGCCAAATTTCATACCCGATCCAGAAGCGGGAGACGAAGCAGCTTATCCCGAGGATCCAACACTCCCTCGATACTCACAGACTGGACTGCAAATCCTCGGCCTCGTCACCGCAGTCCACGGCAATGCACTTCCTAAGGAGCCTGCGACGGTTCAGCAGGCTCTGGGGGGGGAACACAGGGAGAAATGGCGCGAAGCCATGGACAGAGAGTTAAAGGCACTGGAGGAACGCAACACTTGGAAGGTCGTTCCCGCAAGCGTGGCAAGGAAGAAGACCATTCTCACCGGGAAATGGGTCTTCCGCATCAAAACGGAAGCAGACGGCACAATCGAGAAGTTCAAAGCACGCTGGGTCGTGCGTGGATTCGACCAAGAGCAAGGACGAGACTTCACCGAGACATTCGCCCCAGTTAGTCGACATACCTCTCTTCGAATTCTTCTCGCCGTTGCCGCCATGAAGAAGAAGAAACTGCGACAAATCGATGTCGCCAACGCATTTCTCTACGCACCCGTCGACGCCGAAATCTTCGTCGAACTCCCACACGGTACCCACGGAAACCCCAATCAGGTCTGCCAGCTACTGAAATCGCTCTACGGAATCAAACAAGCCCCGCGGCTGTGGCAACAGCACCTACACACCCGACTCACTCGCATCGGATTCCGCCAAGTGCCGCACGACCAAGGAATGTATCGATTCACTAAAGACGCCGATTACATCCTACTGATCGTCTACGTCGACGACCTACTCTACATCGGCTCCACCGACGACATCACCACCTGGTTCGAAGGGGAGCTGCAGAAGGACCTCACGCTCACGGTTTCTTCTACCGTCACCCAGTACCTCGGGCTCAACATCCGCGAAGAAGAAAATGCTATCTACTTAAGCGACCGAGAAATACGCCGACACTATCGCCAAGCGCTTCTCGCTCACACCTATCGCTATCGCCACGCCATACCGCTACACGGCAGGAAGTAACAAAGGAAATTCCGCTCCACTCAAAGCTGCCAGAATACGAGACTACCAGAGGAAACTGGGCTGCCTCCTCTTCGCAGCCGTCACCTGCCGCCCGGATCTATCCTACTCCGCAAGCCAACTCGCTACCTACCTCAGGAAACCCGAAGCAGAGCACCTGGCGGAGCTCGATCGCGCACTACACTACTTCGTGAGCACTCCGACGATCGGCCTGACTTACTACAAAAACGAAACTACGACCACGAAACTAATCGGCTACGTCGATGCCGATCATGCCGGCGATTCCGACAATAGGCGCTCTCGCACTGGCTACGTCTATCGTCTCGAGCCTATCGGACCTATCTCCTGGCAGTCGAGCAAGCAGGAACTAATCGCTCTCTCTTCAGCTGAAGCAGAATGTATCGCCCTCTGCTCAGCCACCAAGAAAGGACTCTACCTTCGCGAGCTGCTGGAAGAAGCAAAGTTAGCCGAGTTACCCAACTTCACCCTATTATGCGACAACCAATCTGCAATTCGCATCGCCAACAAAAGCGGATTCGCGAACAGAACGAAGCATATCGCTCTGCGATACTTCTTCGTGAAAGACGAGATCGAGAAAGGGAAACTCGAATTATCCTACTGTCCCACGTCCGAGATGGCAGCCGATTACTTGACCAAGAAACTCGGAAAACAGAAGCTCGAGTACTGCATGCTGCTGACTGGACAAGGCCACGTCACCATTAGCGACACTCCAGAAGCGAAGGGGAGTGTTGGGAACAATAAGTCTTAAAGCGCCTCTGTCGTGTCGAAACTCAGGACACAAGCGAAGCAGTCCAAATCGAAGCATCGCGAGTCAACCCTCGGAGGTTAGGGTAACCGCCTGGAGGTTACGCGAAGGTCAAAAGTCAGCGACCTTTGACTTGACAAATACAGCGCGACAGCAAGGACACACAACTGACTCGACATTGAGCAGTTGCCCGAGTCGCACTGTATCGAATCGCAACAGCAAAACAGTTTAATTATATCTATTCGTATTCCTTGTACTCTTATATAAAGCCTTGTATTTGTTTGTTTTAATCAACTCACTTTGCCCTCACATACTAGCGGAAGGTGGTTCAAGGACTTTTCATTCAAACGCTTCCGCTATTACAATCCTACTCAGACTTTTACTCTACAAAGATCGTAGGGCATCTCAGCCCAACAACCGGAACCACCTCTACTGTAGCACCGATGCATTTTAGCATTCACTGACAGTTGTTTGTGTTGTTTTTGCACATGTTATGCAACTGAGGTGTGATGTTAAAGTGTGTTGGGTCTGCATTTGAGGTGGGGATCGTTGTTGGGGCAGCGTTGCTCGCCTTAGCATACCGGAACCATCTATGTTGTAGCATCCATACATTTTAGCATTCACTCTTAGTGGCTATGTGTTGTTTTTGCGCGTGATCAATGGATGCGCTGCACATGATTTGCATTCACGTCCAGTGGATGTTTCTTGTCAGTAGTGTTTCGTGACGACCGATTGTTCCATTCGCCGTATTTATAGACGATTATGGAATGAAATGTTACATTTGGTTTCATTTTGGGGGGACTCTTGTGTCAGTGCTTTCGTCATACCCACAACTTTGGAGCACTCGTTTTGAAAACGTCAAAACGAGGGTTTTAAACGTTGGGAAAATGACAAAAACTGCACTGTTCATTCGAGTCGACCAAAAAGTGCTACCAAATGTATAGGGTTGCTACGCAACCCAAAAAAAAAAATCGTAGCCAAAGCTACACTATTGTCGGGATTCACGGTAATTTGTATGCCGTTCTCGATATTTCCCGCCAACAGAGGAACACCCTGGTTCTGACGCCAAAACTAACAGTTGCCGCGAGAAGCGGCATCCCTGGCACAGCCATCTCTCATTTGCTCAACCACAGTTGTGGAGTGACGGAAGGCTCGCACGGGCTTGTCAACACGAGATAGTGTGTACACATCCAATGACGGAAACCAGTCGCATTGCACAGAACCGTGCTCAACCTTTCAAAACAACCTTCATGTTCCAAGACTTCTTCCTTCTCCGCCGACCTCCTGGGTTAGGTTATGGACCTTCTAAGTCGAATGAAAGGCCATTGATAATGGTTCTGTTCGATAGCAGGTTTCGAAGTCCACATTTCCCGAAGTGTCAGCTTACGCGAACTCAGTCTACATGTGCGGGGATTCTCTCTGTAAATAGTTATTTTTCTCACGACCGTTGAATGCGAGTGCATCCGTTGTTGTGATGACAGCTTCTTCTCAAAAATTGTGCACATTAGTATTCGTAAGCTGACACGAAATCGCGTAAGCTCTCGCGCAGTGTTCACGGTATCGCGCGTAGTATATATCATGATGCGTCCTGCTATCTTCAGTTGCCGGAACATCCCGCTCGTGTCGCTTCTGTTGGTGCTGGCTCCGGTGATTTCGCCTCAGCAACAACAGCTCGTGCAAGCTATAAAGCTCGACATTCCTCTCGAGTTCTACCGCGGCGATAGTAAGTCACTCGACATTCCGCTTCCTGGTCAGGTTTTGAATATCTTAAAAGCGTACCACGCTCGGCACTCCATACGAGTTTTCAAGCTTCTCCGAAGCTTCATCTTGTCGTAGCGACACTTACCGGTTAGCTTGGATCGGGGACTATAGTCTGCATACGTTTTGCCCTGTAGGACAGTGCTGCTTCCCTTTCAGCCTGCTTCATCTCTTCTTCCTCCCATAGCTTCATCGTTCCTTCACACATCCTCCTTATCCGTCCTGTAACCCTTCCTTCCTCCTTTACTCCCTCCCTCGCTCCCTCCCTCCCTCTTTCCTCTCGTCCCTTATTTTCCTTCTTCTCACCCTTCCGTCCTCTTCGTTCCGCCTCATATTCCTTTCCTTCTTGGCTTCAACCCCCCACACCCCCTCTAACCTTCCCCCCCTCTTCCCCCCCCCAACCCCCCACCCTTCCTCCTCCCCCTCTTTCCCCCCTCTTTCCCCCCACCCCCCCCCTCCCACCCCCCGCCTTCCTTCATCAACTCAGTAACCTACTTGAACAATTTCGCAGCAGCCATACCAAACTTCCCGCCGTACGCGTGGGCTGCTGACGTGGCACCGCCATGCCCCACTGGCAACTGGATAGGCGTGACGTGCAATTCAGATAACTACGTGACTGACGTGTACGTCCGAGGAGTAGACTGTGCGGGTCGGGTGATGCGAGCAGTGCCAATAAGGTGCAGTGCGAAACGTGTAATTTCGATCAACTACGTGATTGACGTGTACGTCTGAGGAGTTATACGGGTGGGGTGTGGCAAGCAGCGGGGATAAGGTGTGGTGACGTGCACTGCGGATAAGTACGTGGCTGACGTATACGTCAGAAGAATGAAGTGTACGGATGTGGGTTTGTGTGGGTAGTGCCGATTAAGTTGTGGTGACGTGAAGGTTCTAGTAATAGTGTATGGGTATATGGATAAGTACGTGGCTGACGTGTACATTTAATGTTCATGGATATGGTGTGGCATAGGCAGCCAGGCTCGCTGACATGTAACTCACTGATTCGTGAAGTGATTGGGAGCAGCTGTGTTGTTTCTGCCTGGTTGGGTCTGCTATAAGCGGGATAGAATCGCATGTGCCATGTTCTTGTACATACCATCTTTTCAAAGCGTTGTGTTGTGACTCATGCCGTTGGCTTGCGACTGTGAGGATGGTGGTGTGGTTGAGGGTGTGGGTGTGGGTGTGGGTTTGGTTGTGTGGCTGTGTGTGCCTGTGCAGTGACCTAAGCGCAAGCAACGTGACTGGCAATTTCCCAAAGCTCAAGGGTCCCTTCTCGTTTGACATTGCTGCTGTCATATTTCTCAAGACCCTGTGAGTCCGATCCTCTAGGATCTGTGATTCAACTCTGTTTTCCCGCTTACTCGTTGGCAGTGGTACGACTCCCCCCTCCCCCCCCTCCCCCCCGCCAAAAGGCGTTTCCCCCCCGTTTCGAGCATTTCTCCTGCTTATCTTCCCACATCTCACTTTCCTTCCTTCCCCCACTTCCTCGACCCATATCTTCCACCCACCCACACACTCCCTTAATCTCCCTATCCCCACTCCCCTCCCCGCTGTCCCACTCCCTCACTCCCCACGCTCCTCTCCACTCCCCGCTCTGCGTGTTTCCCCATGTCACCTGCCACGGCCTTACCTGGAGCAGGAATCTTGCGGGCAACAAACTCCATGGCGCATTTGTGAGTCTCTGAGGCACCGTTTGGCACCGTTTGGCACCGTTTGTTTCCGTTTTTGCGAGCTTGACACGTTGCTTCTCTTGTATCGCAATGCTGCATGCACGCATGCGTAGCGAGTTGGTTGGAAACAAACGTCATGGCCCATGTCACAAACGTCACTAGGGTAGGGCACCGTTTGGCTTCAAAGCACATGAGATCTTGAGGCTGCCCCTTTAGCTTAGGGTTGCTGCGCCTGTAGCATGGCTGCACCCAATCTCCCCCTGCGTCGCCTCGCTCAATGTGGACAAACAACAGCCTCACAGCAACTCTGAACTCCATGTGCACCCACTCCTGCCTGCACCCGATCCCCCCACACCAGCCCAGCGAGCTGGCCCTCTCACCCAGCCTCGCCGCCCTCAACGTGGCAAACAACAGCCTCACAGGGCGCCTGTCCGAGGACCTCTGCAACCTCAACCTCACCTGCGTGTGAGTGCAGTCTTGTTTTGGTCTGCTGTGAGTGCTGTCACCTGAGCAAGGTGGCATGTGAGTGGACGCAAACAACAGCCTCACAGGGCGCCTGTCCGAGGACCTCTGCAACCTCAACCTCACCTGCGTGTGAGTCACATGTTGCTTTATCCTGGCTGCTGCTGTTGCTTGCATTGCATGGAGCGCCTTAGACAAGTGAGGTGGCTTGTGAGTGAGTTGATCCAACAACAGCCTCACAGGGCGTCTGTCCGAACCGAAGACCTCTGTAACCTCAACCTCACCTGCGTGTGAGTGGTGATACCGTAATATGCTGCTGTCCTCCTGTTGCATTGCACCTGCTTGTTCAAGTAGTGCCTCAAGCGATTTACACCTCTTCCAACTTCCAAGTAGTGAGGTACGAACGACCAACTTCCACTTAAACACATGCACCCCTCTGTAGTAGAGCTTCTCGACTCGACCCACCAGTTCTGCTTCACCCCTCCTGTCCCTCACCCCTCTTCTGCTCTTCCTCCCACAACACCCCCCCTTCCCCAATAACCCCCTCAGCAACGTGATGGGCAACCCTCTCCGCGGGCCCATCCCCTCGTGCTGGAGGAACTTCACATGCCAAGAGTATGCGATACCTTGTCATGCCATGCCATGCCGTGCCGTGCCGTGCTGTGCCGTGCCGTCCGTGCTGTGCCATGCCGTGCCGTGCCATGCCATGGCATGCAATGAGTGCACGCACAGCACACATCCTTCAATCGAGGTTTTGGGCTGCACCTGCACTGCACCTGCACCTGCACCTGCACTGCACCTGCACCTGCTGGTTTTTTGGAATTCTCAAAAACCACCTGCACCTGCACGTATTCATTGTGCGCAAGGTGCCCATCCAAGGAGTGCGAGGAGACTTTTGAGTCGACTCAAAATGCACCTCATTGTGCGCAAGATGCCCATCCAAGGAGTGCGCAATGCATGGATATAAGCTCTGTTCGTTCACGTTCACACCATGCCTATTCCAACCATTTTCTTACTCTGTCTCTTCGGCCCTGCAATATCTCTCCCCCATTCCCGCCTTCCTTCCCCTTCTTGCATCTCTTCCACCTCCCTCCCATTGTCTGTATGGCTGCAGCTTTGCCAACACCAGCCTGCTAGTCGTTCCCAACGCGTGAAATGAGCCGTGTTTTGAGTCGAATCAAAGTCAACTCGTCCCACCTCTCGTCCACCTCCCTCCCGTTGTCTGTATGGCTGCAGCTTTGCCAACACCAGCCTCCTAGTCGTTCCCAACGAAACATGCCGTGATGGTGAGTTTATAACGAATCTTGAGGTGATGATAAGCTTATGGCGAAACGTGCCGAGATGGTGAGCTTGTTAGCAAGTTGTGCCTGGAAGGTGAGTCTGCAACGAGAGAGAATGGTAAAGAGAGAATATTGTCTTGAATGGTGAGCTAGTAAAAAGACAGGCTTGGGTGGTTATCATCTCCCCTCTCCCTCTCCCTCTCCCTCTCCCTGTTTTCCCCTCTCTTCCTACGATCTGTTCCCTCCTTCCCCCAGTCCCCTACCACAGCTGCAACCCGCCTCTCGCAGTGGCCGTGGCACCCCCATCAGCTGCAGCCTCCTCTGTCAACGTCGTTGCCATCATTGCGGGTGTTGTGGGGGGTGCGGCATTCATTGCGCTGGTGGTTGCGGGGGCGATGGTGGTGATGAAGCACATTGAGAGGAAGCGCAGGGAGGAAGAGGAGAGGCGCCTGGAGCAGGATTTGGAGAGTGAGTGATGATGGGGGAAAGGGGTGTTTGATTGCAAGCAGTGGTTTAGGTTGGAATACTCAAAATCTCAAAAGTAAAATCACAAGCATACTGCCTGCTTACCTAGCTATGTAAATAAATTTTACTTTTGAGAATTCTCAAAAGTAAAATCACAAGCATGCTACCTGCTTACCTAGCCCCTTGAGCTGAATTGAACAAAGGGGTGCTGCGCTGCGTTCATCCACTCAAAAACTCTGAGACGGGTCTGATCTGATCATCCATTCTCCCCAGGGAGCTGACAAAGGCAACCAACGGGTCTGACCATCCAAAGTCCCTCCATCCTACCCATTGCCCTCACTCTCTTCCTCTCTCTCTCCTTCGCTCTCCCCCATCCTGTTCCCAACAGCCCAAATTTCGTCTCGCCACTTTGGAACTCAAAAGAAGTTCACCTCAGCGGAGCTCAAGAAGGCCACCAACAGGTTTGACGAGGACTATGTGCTGGGCGAGTGGGAGGGGGCGGGTCAGATGCACTAGGCCAGCTCCCCTCATCGCGTCTCCCCTCTTCCCCCATTCTCTCTCTCCCTCCTCTCTCCCCACTGTTCCCAACAGCCCAGATCTCATCCTGTCACTTGGGCACTCTAAGGAGGTTCACCTCAGAGAAGCTTTAGAAGACCACCAACGCCCTTGATGATCCCTCTCCTCCCCTCTTTTAGCTTTCCCAAGCCCATCCATCTATCATCCCCCCTCTCTTGTTTGCGTCCCTGTTTCAGCCCAGATCTCATCTCGCCACTTCGGAACCCTGAGGCGCTTCACCTCAGAGGAGCTGAAGAAGGCCACCAACGGGTTTGACGAGGACTATGTGCTGGGCGAGGGCGGGTTCAGCAAGGTGTACAAGGGCAAGCTGGAGGACGGCAAGTTCGTGGCTATCAAGAGGATTAAGGTGAGTGAATGAGGTGGGGAACGGTGATGTGGGGTGACATGGGGTGATGAATGTGGGGAGCTGAAAAGTGCCACCAACGGGTTTGATGAGGACTATGTGCTGGGCGAGGGGGCTTCAGCAAGCTGATCAGCCGGGCTGTTCACCGCAACCTCATCCGAGCGGAGAGCTTTCGACTGAACAACTCCTTCCTCTCCTTGCTGCTCCACGCTCTCCCTCCCTGCAGGATGAGAAGAGGGCAGGTGGCGAGCTGCAGTTCCTGTCTGAGGTGGAGATGATCAGCCGAGCAATCCACCGCAATCTCATCCGTGCCGAGGGCTTTCAACCGACCAGCCCCTTCCTCTCCTTACTGCTCTATGCTCTCCCTACAGGATGAGAAACGCGCGGGTGGCGAGCTGCAGTTCCTGTCTGAGGTGGAGATGATCAGCCGGGCCGTGCACCGCAATCTCATCCGTGCCGAGGGCTTCTGTGTGGAGCGCGGCGAGTGCATGCTGGTGCTGCCCTTTTGCTCCAACGGATCTGTGGCGTCCCGCACGCAGGGTGAGATGCGGCTGGATTGGGTCTAGTGCGGTGCAGCTGGGTGGGCGGGCGGTTTTGGATGGAGAGGGAGCTTCTGTGTGGAGCGAGGCGAGTGCATGCTGGTGCTGCCCTTCTGCTCTAACGGATCTGTGGCGTCCTGCACTCAGGTTGAGTGAGGTGCAGTTGGGTAAGGTTGGGTTCATTGCTTTGCATCCCGCGCTGAGGGCGAGAGAGCCACAGCTGGCCTGGGGGCGTGGGCCACTGCCCTCCTCACTCACCACGGACTGACTGGCTCATGCTAGTGAAGGTGGTATGAGGAGCAGCGGCGAGGGTAGCGTCACCCAACCCAACCCCACCCCATTCCATCCCAGCCCTCCTCCCGGGTTTCTCACATGTCCTTGTTTTCTTGCTCTCCGTTTCATGCTCGCCAGGCAAGGAGGGTAACCCCATGGACTGGCCGACGCGCATGAAGGTGGCCCGGGGAGCAGCGGAAGGGATAGGCTATCTGCACACGGACTGCAAGCCAAAGCTGGTGCACCGCGATATCAAGGTACATGAATTATGGGGGTGCATGGGTTTTTAGGGTATGGTCTTGTGAGGCATGTGGCATGTGGCATGTGGCATGTGGCATGGGGGAGCAACGGAAGGGGTGGCGTATTGGCACACGGATTGCAAACCAAAGCTGGTGCACCGCGATATCAAGGTGGGTGTTAAAGCGGGGTGTACCCTCACAAAGCAGGGTAGTGTTGCTGTATGGCCTCGTGAGGCACGTGGCACAGGGTGCAGCAGAGAGGCTGGCATCTTTGCGCACAAGTTGAGTCGATTTTTTAGTCGACTCAATAATAATGTTGTTGTGTGGCTTCGTGAGGCACGTGGCGTGGCACAGGGTGCAGCAGAGAGGCTGGCATCAGAGAGGCTGGCATCTTTGCGCACAGATTGCAAGTTGAAGCTGGCGCACCGCGATATCAAGGTACACACATGACTTATGGGGGCACATGGGTTATGGGGTGGGGTATGGCCTTGTGAAGCATGTGGCATGTGGCATGGGGGAGTAGAGGGATTAGCGTATCTGCACACGGACTCCAAGGTGATGCTGCTGCACGTGCATGAATTATACCTTATGGCCTTTTGACATGTGGCATGTGGCATGTAGCATGTAGCATGTGGCATGTAGCATGAAGCATGTAGCATGTGGCATGTAGCATGTGGCATGTAGCATGTAGCATGTAGCATGTAGCATGTGGCATGTAGCATGTAGCATGTGGCATGTGGCATGTGCATGGGGAAATGGAGGGGGTGGCATCTCTGGACACGGACTGCAAGCCAAGGAGATGGACGTGAATGAAACGCATGCATCTGCTGTTCTGCCCCTGCTCATCCCCTGTTCTGCCCCTGCTCATCCCCTGTTCTGCCCCTGCTCATCCCCTGTTCTGCCCCTGTTCATCCCCTGTTCTGCCCCTGCTCATCCCCTGTTCTGCCCCTGCTCATCCCCTGTTCATCTTCGTGAGTTGAGTCGATTTTTGAGTCGACTCAAAAATCTGTTCTGCCCCTGCTCATCTCCTGCTCATCCCCTGCTCATCCCCTGCTCATCCCCTGCTCATCCCCTGCTCATCCCCTGCTCATCCCCTGCTCATCCCCTGCTTATCCCCTGCTCATCCCCTGCTCATCTCCTGCCCATCCTCACCAGGCGGCCAATGTGCTGCTGGATGAGAACGACGAGGCAGTGATTGCGGATTTTGGGCTGGCCAAGGAGATGGACGTGAATGAGACGCATGCCACCACTGCTGTCAAGGGCACCATCGGACACATCGCCCCTGGTGCGTACTACGAGAGGGTATAGGCGTGTTTTGGATGAGTCTAGGTGTGTGTGGAACGGGTATAGGTGTTCTTTGAGGTGTAACTCACTTTTGAGGCTCCTCAAAACTCAAGACGGGTACTGAATGAATCCCTGTGACGCCTGCCAAGTGTGTTTTGAGTGACAGGGACTCAAAACACACCTTTGAGGGGTCTCCCTTCACAGTCCTGGTGTGTTTTGAGTCGACTCAAAACACACCTGAATCCCTGTGACGCCTGCCAAGGAGATGGTCGAGGCGATATTAGTGGATCCGGGAATGAAGCGCATGCCACCACTGCAGTCAAGGGCACCATTGCCCACATTGCCCCTGGTGCGTGCTAGAAGCAGTTACCCTGCAGCTTGAACTGTGCAGGTACACCCCCTCCTTTCTACCAGAGTACTTAGTGAGCAGAGGATGTATTAGCTCTAAATAAACGTCTCCTCCCCAGTGCTAATGCCTCCTCTGCTTCTACCCTCCCTCACCCGCCCTCCTCCCTAACCATCCCCCCAGAGTACTTTGTGAGCGGGCAGTGCTCAGAGAAGACGGACGTGTATGCGTTCGGGGTGTTCCTGCTGGAGCTCGTGTGAGTAGGCAGTGCTCGGTTCGGTTATTCTCTCCTCAGCCCAATGTTCTCTCCCCTCGCCACCTCTCCCCACCTCCTTCCCCTCCCAGAGTACTTTGTGAGCGGGCAGTGCTCAGAGAAGACGGACGTGTATGCCTTTGGGGTGTTCCTCCTGGAGCTCGTATCAGGCAAGGACGTGTACGGATTGACTGTCGTGCCCGAGGCTGAGGAGATTCTACTGAGGGACTGGGTGAGTGGGTTGGGCTTGGTGTGCTGTGATGGGTGTGCTTCACTCTCCTCCCGTCTCTCTTCCTGCTGGAGCTCGTGTCGGGCAAGGACGTGTATGGGCTGGGCTCGCTGTCGTGCCTGAGGCAGAGGAGATTCTTCTCAGGGACTGGGTGAGTGGCGTTCGCACGGAGTAAGCCCCCTTCTGCTGTGATGGGTGTGCTCAGCTCTCCCCCTCCCTGGGCAAGGACGTGTACGGACTAACTGTCGTGCCCGAAGCTGAAGAGATTCTTCTCAGGGATTGGGTGAGTGGGTTGAGCTCGGTGTAATCCCCCTGCTGTGCTGTCATGGTATGCTCGACTCCCCCCCCTCCCTCGTGTCGGGCAAGGGCGTGTACGGACGGGCTCACGGTTGTGCCTGAGGCTGAAGTGATTCTTCTCAGAGAGTGGGTGAGTCAGCCTAAGCCCTTCTTCCTGTCATGGGTGTTCTCGTCTCTCCCTCTCCCTGCTCGACCTCGTGTCGGGCAAGGACATGTACGGCCTCTGGGCCGTTCCCGAGGCAGAGGAGATTCTTCTGAGTAGACTGGGTGAGTGGGTTCATCACCGGTTTAACCCCCTATTCCTGTGATCGTGTGGTGTGCTCCGCTCTCTCTCTCTTCCTGCTCGACCCTCGTGTCGGCAAAGGTTGGTGAGTCCTTCGCAAAGGACATGTACCGCCTCTATTGGTGTGACTTTTGAGAGTTCTCAAAAGTCACACCAAAGGACATGTACCGCCTCGGCGTCGTTCCCAAATCCGAGGCTGATGACACACCTCTCCCCTGGGGCCTCCCTCCTGCAGGTGTCGCAGCTGCTGGTGGAGGGGAAGGCAGATGTGCTTGTAGACCCAGAGGTGAAGAAAGCCGAGGGGGCAGTGGACATGGGTCAGGTGGAGAAGATGCTCCAGGTGGCGCTGCTGTGCCTCAAGAACGACCCGGCTGAGCGACCCACGATGGAGGACGTGGCTAAGATGGTGGCTGGGAGTGAGCTCACAGAGAAGTGGCAGCAGTGGCAGGTGAGGGGTGTGGGGTGAGGGCTGTTGGAGGTGTGTTGTGGAAAGAGCTTGCGGTGTGCGAGGGATTGGGAGGAATGACTTGGCTGAACGGCCCACGATGGAGGATGTGGCTAAGATGGTGGCTGGGAGTGAGCTTGCAAAGAAGTGGCAGCAGTGGCAGGTACGTGGGCATAGTAACTCGCATTCAGCCACATGCATGCACTCAATGCTTCAAACGGTGAATGTAACGTGCTTCTTTGGTGCTTGGCTCACGCCTCTCCATATTTTTAAGTGCATTTCTTTCTGCTGCTCCTGAACTCCCGTTTATCTGCATCAAATTGTTTTTCAGGCTGAAGCTGGGGCCATGAGAGCAGAGGACCTCATGGCTGTTGTCAAGAACCCTTCGCTCTGGGAGAACACAACAACTGGAATCTCGCTCGAAGCCTTCAATGTTACTGGGCCCCGTTGAGAGTTCCACCTTTTCTAGTGGGTGTCAGAGGGAGCTAATTATTTTAGTTTTATTATGACAGGTCATTTTGTTGTGTATGTATCACCTTGTCTGCAAAGCAGTAGGCTTTCAAGAGTATTTAATGCAAGTGTGAGATGATTAGCTAATCATATCAAATATTTTTAATCTTCTCTGATGAAGTTAAGGGGGTTCTGTACGTTTTCTAAACGGTTGAATCCAAACATCTCTTCAGGGATATTTTTGGCACCTGACGTGGACTGCGCCCCAGTCCACGGCCTTTATCGGCTCCTCGAACTCGGACATCCGACTCAGCAGTGCATTTCCGCTCCCGAGCCGGGTCGCGCTAGCCACTGGTGTACACATGATGCCCAGCCACTGCGCGCGAATTTGTCTTTCTAATTTCAGAAACTCTGCGCCCGTGTTTTTTTCTTAGTCAGTTGCACCCAGATTATAGGCACGCGGATCAGCTTGCATTTGGGCGAGAAAACGCCAGGCGCAAAACAAACCATGCTGACCCGGTTTGTTCTTGTTTCTTGGCCAGAAACAAGCATAAACCCGAAACCCTGAACTAACAACAACACAGGCCCACCAGAAGTGTTTTGGAAAAAACAAATGAGTTACAGCCTGTGTTTTTTAGAAGCACCTCAACACCCTGGCGAAATAGAACGAACTGGCCGAAACGTTTAAACGGTTTATGAGCCCAAAGCACAACCCAAGTAGGGGAGACTCAAACGGATATCAGGTAGAAACGAAGGTGTCGCACATGCAGTGAGTGGCTGCATATGAACTGTGTGACCAGCTGACGACTGCGATCTTTTTCACGAGTTTGGTGGGATTGCTTGCTCGCCCATACCTGTGTGCCCCTTTTGTTTCTTCCAAACCACACCCGAACCAAACCGTTGTCAAAATGCAGTTTCCGCCCCGTCATCACAATTATGCGCCTTCGGTCAGCCGGGACAACAGCAATGTCCGCGTCTATTGGTGCAATTGACCTTCACCTTCAAAATTTTGTTTTCACTCGTGACTTGTCCCCCTTCATCAGTTGCCGTCGCCGACGCAACATCCTGCCAGGGAGGCGCAGGCCCCCAGCGCAGACTGGCTCTCCGCTCAACCCTCGCGCTGCCACTGTGCTGTGTGTGTGTGTGTCATCCATGCAAGCAGCGCGGAGGCCCTTCCGCCAGTTCACTCCCATTTCCTCCCTACCTGCCCGCAATCTACCCCAAACCAAGGTTCCAGCCCAGGGTAAAAAGCTGCGGTCACCAAGGCTCCAACGAAGCTGCGGTTTGGTGGGATCAGCTTTTTCCTCTTTGGCCTCGATTCTACCTCCTGACGCAAGATAGCGCCATGGCGGAGGTGCTGCGCTGCTGATTACTTCGTTCTTATAAACCCGATGGCTGCTTGTGCTGATTGATTTCATCCACAGGGTCTCGCGAGGCTGGAATCGTTGCCTGCAACGAACGCGTTCGGGTTGTTTAGCGCAGATCACGCGTTGGTCGTAGTCAACAGCCCGCTGGCTGAGCCAACCTAGAAATATCAACGAGAGCCTCTGAGGCATCGTTCAGGTTTATCAGAGTCAGGTTTTGCTTACGTTTAGTAACAGCTATGGAAGAAGCTACTGAATCTTGTGTCCCGCACCATCACGAGGGTTGCTGCTCACACAGCAACATGTGGGATCGTGTCAAGAAGCGGTATAAGCTGTGTGATTTTAGTGCCCTTCCTGACTACCTTCGAGACAACGAGTACATTCATGGATACTACCGCGCAAACTGGCCTCTCAAACACACGCTATGGAGCATCTTTCATATTCATAACGAGACTGGAAATATCTGGACGTAAGTCATAGCCGACCGTCGCTATGTTTCTCGTGTCTCATGTGCTACAATAGTGTAGAGAATCTCGCGCGTGATAGTGTCCTTCTTTTCATCCTCGACTTCGGAGTGCTGAGTTTCAGGGAGATCTTGTGCTAACTAGCTCTGGCTGGTTGCTTGCAGGCATCTTATAGGATTCATCCTATTCCTGAACCTGACCATCTACACGGCCCAGAAGTTCCCGAAGGTGGTTGAAATCCCACTCTCCCACCTCCATTTTCCTGAATCATGGGTCAACGCCACTGACAGCATCCATGCACATCTTCAGCACATGGAACTTCCGGATTTCCGTCCCATCAGGGACGCGCTTACCTCCATGGAGTTTCCGAATCTCAATGCCATGTACAACTCCCTCCCACACGTCGAGCTCTCAGGAATGTCCGGAATATCTGGGATTTCGGGAATTTCGACTTCCATTTACGAGGCCATGCCGCACGTTCCTAACATGCACGAGATGCAGACCATGCTCTCAGCAGTCATGAAGTCCAAGCTACCAGACCTGGACACCACTAAGCTTCAGGCGATGCTTCCTCACGTGGAGCTCCCAAGGCTGCAGCAGGTTCAGGCTGCTCTGCTGTGGTACTACGGCTGTGTCCATCGCTACGCCAGCACGGCCTTGGAATCCACACCGGCGTTTCCCACCAGTCCGCTGTGGAACGATCAGAGCGTCTTTGGAAACTGCGTAAGTGTCTACTCCCTTGTGACCTCTCTGTGACCGACGTCTCATTCGTGCTAGCTTTTGTGCGTTTCCGTCCTTACCAGCTGGTTCTGGGAAGAAATTGTCTTACGGCCCAAGTTCATGCCTGCCCCCTTCAGTTTGCTATCCTTTTCCTCCGTTCTGCTTCCTTCATGTCCCAAACCTGCCTCAAACATGCCTCTTGGTCACTCCGTCTGCTTCAAACTCCCTCATTTACATTTTCCACTGATCCCCTGCCTACCCCAACCCCCGTCCCGGCACCCCCTTCCCTCTTCTTCCCGGATTCCCCCCCCCCCTCCCCCCCCCCCCCCGCACACACTCACTCTTCCACTCTCCCTTCCTGTAATCCCGTAAACACTTCTGCAGTCACTTTCGGACAGCCCTTCGTTTTTGCTAAGATCAATCAAAACTGAGCGCAAGATTGCCATGTGGCCGTTCTTCGTCTTCCTAACCGGCGCCATGATCTGCCTGCTCTCCAGCAGCACCTGCCACCTCCTGGGCTGCCATTCCAAGAAGGTCTCCCAGATCATTTGGCGGTTTGACTATGCGGGAATTGCCATCCTCATCTGCGCATCCTTCTACCCGCCAGTCTACTACGGCTTCCTCTGCCACCCATACGCCCGGCTCACCTACCTCGTCCTGATCACCCTCGGTGGTTTGGGAACTGTAGCTGCCTCTCTTCTCCCTGCCTTTCAACAACCTAAGTACCGAGCCTTTCGTGCAGGGCTGTTCTTTGGACTGGGAGTCTCTGGTGTGGTTCCATTTTTCCATGGCATGCTGCTCTACCACCATGAGCCGTTTTTGGTGACAACTCTTCTGTATGAGCTGCTTATGGGGGCGTTGTACGGCATTGGAGCTCTCTTTTATGCCACCAGGATTCCCGAGCGATGGCTGCCTGGGAAGTTTGACATAGCGGGACACAGCCATCAGATTTTCCATGTTCTTGTTATTGCTGGGGCGTACACGCACTATCAGGCTGCCCTAAGATATCTGCAATGGGTGGATGGTCGCATGTGCTGAAGTGTGCTTGCAGGGACTGCAAGGTTTGCTGTGCCCTACCATGTTACTTTGGTTACATCCATTGCTGCTGTCATTGTCACAGTTTGCAGGTCTGTGCTGCTCTTGGTGTAGCGATCTTGGGACCTCCCTTCGCGCAAGGGTTGACAAACTACTGTAATATTGCATAGTGGGGAGTTCATGCTTGCCTGTACTGTTCTGTACATTGTTGTATACCTATGAAGCAAGGCTTCCTTTGCATAGGTACCTATGTAGACTGCTCACATGGCAGTTGCTTGTGCTCTTGCCAACTACAATAAATGTCATGTAGCATCCCCGAAATAAGAGTCTACTTCTGATGAACGCCCGTATACCTCTCTTATTCTGAGTATATCAGTTGAGAAGGTGGACTTGGGTGTACCAATGAAGTATTGCGCTCTTGCACATATGTGCTTCTCGGCGAGAGCCCTGAGGATACCTTGGTCTTCCTCATCCAAGTTTTCGAAATCACGCACCCAGTCATACTCGTCGTACTCCAACGAGCCCTTAGTGAATTCAGGAAGGCGCTCAACAACAAAGGGAGCCTTCGAGTCCAACTCTGCATAGAAACAGGCATAGAGGTGTCACCGCCATGCAACAATGAATGAACAGCGTCGATGCGAATCATGATCCAAGAACGTCAAGAAAACAAAAATCTATTGCACCATCAATCCCTGTAAGCACTCACCCAGTAGCAGCTTCTCCAGGAATTGCACTTCGGTCAGGCTTGCATCAGTGGCTAGGTACAGAATACTGATGCCACGGCCGCTGAAACGCGACACAATGTAGCGTGCAATAGACGCGATCGGCAGAAAAGCCGGGTCTCTGCTCTGCTGCTTTCCCTTCTCCTCATTCCTCAAATAAGCATGCGAAAAATCCCCTCTCCTCATATGCACAGCCGCATAGTCATCTCCCAGGAAAGTATCAACAAACCCCGAAACAAACCTCCGAACCACTGGAGGCGGCTCCC